AATGCTATTAACTGAAAAAACTTTTTCCCACTCCTTATCAGGAGAACTGAAACAATTTGAAAAGTGGTTGGTATTTGCTCCCAGTGGTTTTTAACCTGCTCTTGGGCCAAAAAGGCCTTTACAGCAGACTTCATTAGACCTAATATGTTGTATGAACCGAACCAACTGTGTTTCATTGAGTAAGCTAGAATTAAACAAACAATGGCTTAATACACTGAACATTCCAAATGAGGTAGTATTTTAAAAAACAACAGAGAGAATAGGACTTAAAGGTGAAAAAAATCTCAACCTTGAGCACCACCTCTTAAAATTAAGTCTTCATTCTTAAGTAATAGGCAGCTACTTATAATTCAAGAAAATAAGAAATCTGACAGGAGTAATGGACTGGACCTATTTCCTACCTTATCTCCTTCAGCTGCTGCCACTTGATGAAATGGCAGTTGCTGGTTATAGATGGGGGGGGGGGAAGAGGGAGTTGTTTTTTTTCAGGTAGACTTTCTTGTATGGACCTGCAAGCATGGAGTTTGATAAATACCATAGCTGGTGTTCAGGTTGTTGACATACTTTTTCGAACAGTATGTGGTAAATATGAATGATCTCTGTGACCAAACTAAAAATTTTCTTATAAATTGACAGATAATAGGTTCATATGCTATATAATATGGTTTGCTGCTTTTTTTATTTAGCATGTTGTATAATTTCCAACACCACTGCCATTTGAAATCATGATTTATTACCTGGCATATTAGACAAATTCAGCCAAGAGTGCTTTATTATATAAACTAAAGCTATCAGGTATAGGTTGCAAACATATAAATGACTTCTAGATGGCAGCAAAGAACTAGAATTTTCTCTATCTCTTTCCTGTTATCTCATGGTCTTTTGGACTTTTTGCATCCCAGCTTTAGTATCCTTAAAACAAACCTTCTTTAGTGATGGGTAAATTTAGTCAATAGTCTTGCTTGTTTAACCTATTAAGTTGTTTAAAAGAATAGCATGTTGATCAAACCTTGAGTGCAACATCTCAGCTACACTTTGTATCCAATGTTTGTTCTTAGATAATATATATCCCAAAACTTTAGTTCCTTATTTTGTGCACGCTTGGAAGTGAAAATTCCTAAGGTCAGCAGTGATTTTATTTTAATTGTAAAATGTCCTACACAAGAACAAAAACAAAAGGGATTTTTGCTCCTTTTTTGCTCACTAGTGAGTTTCAGCCATTTGTTTTGGCTGTTGCTTCTGCAAATGTATATATAATCTGGACCCTTTTAGTCAGAGTTGACTTCTGGCAACTGACTGGACAAGTCCCTGCAGTTTTCTTGGAAATGGTTTGCTTCTGTCTCTTTCTTAGGGCTGACAGGCAGACCGGTACGCTCCCACAGACCGGTATGCTCCCACAGAGCGGGCCTCCTCAGGGTGCCGTCGGCCAAGCAATGTCGGCTGGCGACCCCCAGGGGGAGGGCCTTCTCTGTGGGTGCCCCCACCCTCTGGAACGAGCTACCCCCCGAGATCCGGATAATCCCGGATCTCCTAACCTTCCGCCGCGCCCTCAAGACATGGCTTTTTCAGCAAGCGGGACTGACCTAGGGNCTAGGGTGAATTTTAAATAGGGATAATTTTTAATGATTTTAATAATGTCACAGCTACAAATATTTGGTTTTAATTGGCTTTTATAGGGGAAATGTTGTGTTGTGTTGTTAGTGTTGTGTTATTTTAATATGCTGTGAGCCGCCCTGAGTCCCGTGGGGAGAAGGGCGGCATATAAATTATGAAAAAATAAATAAATAAAAAATAAAAATAGTGGCCCAAAGTCATCCAGTTAATTTGATGCCTAAAATAGAACTAGAACTCCAGCCTGATGCCTTAACTACTGCATCAGACTGACTCTTGCAAATATATGTAGCGATGCTATAATGACACAATTATCTTTGGATGCATTCTCCATGATATAATTATTCAATATTTATGTAATTTTCTTAATATTCAGGTAATTGAGTCACTGATTAATAAAAGTTTGCAGAAACTGCCTATATAAATTTATCGGTAGTCAGGTAGAAATTTTTTATTACAAGTGGCAGGCAAAAAAGAAAGCAGAGCACAGGAGGATATCCTGTGGCCATTGTAAAAGTAGCTAACGTGGCTACCATTGGACACAATTGGTCCCCAACATACCAGAATTGCTCAAGTATTCTAATCCTGGTTTTTACCAGTTCAGACTTTGTGTGTCATGCAAAAGCATTTATTTTCTCATTTTGACCATTATTAGTTAATAATATTTTATGGGCTGGTAAAATGGATTTATTTGAAGATGATTCTACCTAGTAAAGGTGAAGTGCCGTGAGATAGCTTGTGGATTAATGTTTTTTTCTTAATTCATGCCTTAATTCTCTTTCATATAAATCATGATTTATCAATGCCATTAAGTCAGTGTCAGCCCTTAATGAATGCTCTGATAGACTTTATCCAGGATGAATAAATCATATATCATGATTTAATATTATATGCACAGATGCTGTGATTCAAAGCATACCTAACATCCCAGATGTAGGCTTTGAAGTTATACAGAATTTGTTGTGGTTATAAAACAGAAAATGAGATAGGAGATATGGATGGAGTACAGAACATTTAGAATAATTGGGCAGAAGAGAATCAATAATAGCCTCCTCATAGTTCAGCTCTAGATTTGATTTTAAATGCCAGCATTGCATCCTTTACTAAAATGCTTTGAATGGAACTACCTGCCATCTGGAATTCTTGGGCAATCGCTAAGTTTACAGAGGTTTCCCATCATGGGCCCTCTGGCATCACAAAATAATAAGGTAGCTATGTCTAACTGGACTGTCATAATCTCCTTCAATCAGAACTAGCCCTGCTATTCAACAGTGAAACAGATGCTTCAGGCAGAAGGCTTTGGGAAAAGCAACACAGTAGAATAGCATTATATGTGCCACATGGTCTACCTTGCTGCCATAAACTGATGCTGTGGGAAATGTAGTCCTGTTGCCAGTCTAAAAATAACATTCAGCAGTTAGCCAGATAAGCCCCAGGGTACGGAGCCTGGAGAAAAGACTTTATCCTTAGGTAGTCACAATTTGGGGGCCATCACAGGATCTTAAATGGAAGTGAGAGTCTTGATGAAGATCTCTTGATGAAGAAACTGCTCATCTCCCAGTATAGCTTACAAGGGCTCACCAGCAGAGAAGGGGACCAACTGAAGACACTTTGTCCATGGACTCCAAATACAAAACAGCCTTGTTAAGGGAACTGCCCTTCTCAAGTCACAGGCCATCTGTTTGTAAGATGCTGCTGTGATCCCAGCTACTTACTTTTGAGGAATTAACTCTCAAGAAAGGATATGGCAATTTTGACATTGTGTATTCAAGATGATAGATGTTGAGGGGAGGGTTGATCATGTACAAGGACTTAAGACAACTTGGTTAACACATTGTGCTAAGCTATGATGTGCTGAATAATTATTGTGGCTCACACAATGTATTCAGGTGTCAATCAAATATTACAAATCATACTTGCAATGGGAAATGGGAAATAAAATATGCTTGATTTGATTTGGGATTAGGGTGAGCCCAAATCATTGTGACTGTCAAGAAACCAAACTTAAGATAATTATGCTTCATAGTGCCTTTATGCTAACCTATCCTCCCCAGATACATTGAACAGTAGCTATGGTTAATGATAAGGAAGATACTGAATACAAAATCTGGGATTTCACAGGGTTAAGGTAGGTAGTAGTAGTTTGTATAGGAAATTGCATTAAGACTGTTGACTCAATACTAAGCCAGAATATGAGTTTATGGTGCCAGATAATTATAAGGCAATCTTTCCATGGTGCCATGCTCCGTTGTGTCAGATTGCATCTCCCATAGTTCCCAATCGTTATGGGTGCTTGTCGTACTACTTTGGGAACTATGGGAGTTATTTTCCTGCCTATCTAGAGAGAATCAATTTAGGAACAATGGGATTGTCTGTGAGTGGATATCTGTACATTTTTCCTGAAAATACGTACATCCTTTGTGGATAAAAATGTTAAATTAAGAAACTGCTCCAGGGAAATTCTTTAAAAACTTTTGTCTACTGCGACTGTATAAGCCTAATTTAACTGGCAACCCTATTAATAATAATAAAAAAACACCGCAGTGAAATAGGAGAAAGGATATCCGCAATTCTACGCATCTGCCCCACGAAGCGTGTGTAATACGGGGAGGGAGTCTCTGGCCTTGTTTCAGAAGAATGAATATCATTCTATAGGACGCCAAAAATCGATGATGGGAGCGGAACTCCAACCCAGTATTGTTAGAAGGCCCGATTCTTACACGGATACACTTATCTCCTCTTGGCAGCTTTCGGTTAGATCGCCTGCGGCGTCTCGGGTTTATTCCCAGTGACATGCAGGTCATTTGATCCTGATAGCAGCTGCTGGCTGAGCGTATGAACTGTTTTAACTGAAAATAATTGCATTCGAACTACATAAAAGAAAGGTGTGCTTGTATATATTTTAGCCTGGCATTCCCTAAATCATGGCTTGATTTTCCAATCAAGTGAGAAGCGGGTCTGTATGTGGAATAAGACTAATGCGACGGCGGCGAGTGGGGAGGGGGGGTGTCGCCTTTATAAGCGCACGTTCGAATTTAACGCCCGGCACAACCGCGGCGAGACGTGGCGTGGCGCTTGCACAGGCGCGCGCGGCTCCACCACGCGGGGCCGCAGAGATTGAGAGGGGCGGCCGTGCTTTGCCTGGCCCCGCCCCGGCCATCCCTCTACCCCAGCGGCGGTAGCGTCTCTTCGATCGTTCCCTGCGTCCGACCCTCCTTCCTTCGCCGGCAAAGCAGAGCAAATCGAAGCGAGCAAGGCACGCTGACGCCGGAGCAGGAGCGGGAGCGTTTGGTGGCTGGAGACGCACAAGGCGGAGGGCGCCACTGGGGCAGCCGCTGAGTACTCTTGCCGGGCCGGGCCGGTGCGGTTGCTGGGAGCCCCTGGGGGGGATGGCGGACGGGACTCCTTGTGTTCCTCCTTCGGGGTCGCCCCGGCCCGGGCCCCCCCGCGTCCCCCCGCAAGAAGAAGGTGCTGCGGCCGCTGTGGAACCTCTGGACGACCTGAGCTCGCCATGTTCCGTTTCGGGTAGCTCCGCGGGTACCAGCCGCGACAACTCGGCCGAGAGGGAGCCCCCCGGCGTGGCCAAGGCTGCCCCTGCCGCTGGCATTATGAAGGTGGGTCCCGATCGCTTGCGCCTCTTCCCGCCCCGCGACCCTTCTGTAGTGAGGCTCTTGCTGTCGATTCTTTCGGCGTAACATCTCTTTCCTTTATAAATAGGAATCCCACTGGGATTTCCCACTACCTCAATCCACAAGGGCAACCTACCTGAACTTAAACCAATCTCCTCCAGCCCGCAACCTGAATATCTCTGGTTCTGCCCTCATCTGACCTTCTAAATTAACCGAGGGACCCACCAGAGATTTCTAACCGATTTGTTTTTCCTTCCATGCAGCAGCGTCCCTTATTCTGAATGCCCTTTACTTAACTTCCTCCCATTTCTAAAACAACAGGTTCTGAGACTCTTGCTATGAGTAGATGCGTGTATCTGGGTGTGTGTGTGTGGGGGGAATTCTTTGGTTTTTGACTTTGTTTGCTAAAGAGAGAGGAAAAGGCACTCTGCATGTGCACAAAGGTGCTGTCTCCTCATTCTTGTCTGATATTCTGAAGATTGATGTGGATGTGAGTGGTGTGTGATCAAGAAAGAGATTGGGGATTCAACCCTACTTCTGATTAATACAATCTCTCTCTGCAAAATTTCCTAACTATTCTTTATTTCATATGCTCAACCCAGTCTGAACATTCACATTAGTTCATATGATGGACTTAACCAGGTCAGTTCAATCTAGGTACTCCATTTAAAGAGTATGCTACGCTTGTTTAATTCAATCTTGGGATTGTTTTTTGTTTGTTTGTTTGACATGTACAAATCCAGTCTATTTGTACATTAATTCAAAGTCACGTGTATTAGTCAAATTCCTAAAATGGGTAAAGTCAGTAACCAGGTTAAGTGTGTTAGGTGAACCCAGCTTCTTTGTTACCTGAAGCTGGATTGCTACTCTGTCTCACCCTCTCCTGCAGAAGACTGCTTTGAACCCCTTATAATTTTTCTTTCTCCCTCCTGTAATCTCCTTAACTCATTCAGAATGTTTATGTGAAAAGTCATTTCACATACTTTTATCCTGCTGTTTTGAAGTTCTACTAGAGATGCATTTGAAAGTCTGGTTCCTATATGTATAAATGTTGTTTGATTTTTCTGTGTTAGTTCAGTGATTATGGCTGAGCTAAGTTGAGCCTCTGAGCCCACCTCAAAAAACTAATGGATTTGAACTGGTATGCATATTGTGACTGTCATTAATATTGGTTGCAGATCCACATGCCATAGTATTCTGCTATTGTAATCTTTTAAGTAATGAAAGACCAAAAAGTGATTCAAGTGGAAGATTTTTTTCATCCACTTCACTTTTTTTGGGTAACCCTTCTGTAATTATCCTATTAGTGCTGCCTTGCAGGATTATCTTATGTGAGAATCACATATTCAAGCCACTTACACAGGTAGTCTTCAACTTATGACTACAATTGGAACTGGAATGTCCATGTAAGTTCTTGCAGCCATAAGTCAAGTTGGATCCAATTTTACAACAATTTTTACAGCTGCTGTTAAGCAAATCTTCATGGCTGTTAAGCAAATCTTCATGGCTGTTAAGCAAATCACATAGTTGTTAAGTGAATTCAGTGTTTCCAATGGACATTTTTTTTTGCCAGAAATCAGCAAAAAAGGTAACAAACACAATCACACAATTGCAGGACACTGCAGCTGGTTTTAAATGAAAGCTGATTGCCAGGTGCTTGAATTGCAATCACATGACTGCAGGGATGGTGTGTAATGGTGAGTACAGATTTTAAGTCACTTTTTCCAAGGCTGTTGTAATTTTGAACCACCATTAAATGAACAGTTGTAAGTTGAGGACTACCTGTAACATGGCTCTCCATATGGGAATTGGTGCGTGCAATCGCTGCCATTTTATTTGCAGTCTTGAACTTGTATAATTTAGTTGGGGTATCTTTCACATGTTTATATTTCTACACGTTTGTGGAAAGGCACATGGATGGCAATCAGCAGTCCAACACCTGAATTATTTCCAATGGCAAGAAGTACATTGAATTCAAGTCTTGCTGATGGTTGTGAGTGTTTTTTTTAATGAACGAGGTGCATATGGTGTACAATAAATAAAGAACATAGACCTATGAATTGGCTCATTACGAGTTCATCTCCATAGCTAACATGAGATTTCCAGTCTATGTTTGTAAGGAATTAAGGATGATCATTATTCTACTTTAACAAACCTGGTTTACTTTTTCATATCATATTCTTTAATATTGTTTCTCATACCAGGGTGTTAGCATGTTACTAGATCCCTGAATCATATTCATTAGGAAGGGAACCCCAAGACATCAAACCACCCCAAAAATAATTCAACTGAAAGTCATGAAGGCCAGCTTCTGCAGCAGAAGTGAGAGCCCCACACTGCTCCACAATGTATGAATCAACTCAATCTCCTGAAGGAGTGTTATCTCTGGCTGCATATGGTGATGAGGTTCCCCCCCCCTCCGGTTTTCCAGCAAAGCTTTTTACCTAGGTGTGATCCATTCAATTGGAAGAGCCAGATCGTGAGCTGAATCACCGTCATTCCTTCACATGATCAGGTGGTCAGCCATAAAGGTGCTAGCCTATCAGATAACAGGAGATATCTTCTGCAAATTAGCCAAAGCCTTGTAGGAAGACAAAAATTGTTTTCTGTCCTTGAACCCCCTTCCCTTTTGTGAAGTGATCTCAGGTTCCCTTGAGCTATTTATGTCTTGTTTACTCAAACTGACCGGATCAAGGCCATTTCATTTTGATGGAGCCAAGGAAACAGAGGGTCAAGGTCACGAGTTTGAGTTTAACGTGATCTTTATGAGTTGGTGGGAGTTTGTAATCCTGTGGGTCTCAGCTCTGTGAAAAATCTCTTCCTAGAGGTTCTGCTGGTTTCATTCTATGACAGATGAGTCTGAATAAAGAAGGGCTGTCAATGTTATTTGATGTGTTTGGGGCATTAGTGCACCTTCACAACTTGACATGTTATATGCTGGTTTCATTCAATGCAATGAATAATTGCCTTTCATGATTGCAGCCTTCCCAAGGCTTCTTAAGGTAGAAACCTATATCTCTTATAAGAGATTAACAACGCCTTAAATCAATTTTAATGCCATATTTTCACAAAAGAACTGATTGAAAGAAGCCAAATCCATAACAATAAAAGCAGCCTGAGCTACCAAAAATGAGTGCAGTATATTAAAAAAAATCCAGATAAAAGTAAAACTAGTCATCTTTAAAGCATTATTAAAGGTAAAGTCAGTGCAGAGTGCCTTGAGTAAAAGTTGCTTTAAATCCTAATCAGTCAAATTATAAATTTGATGAAGGGACCTGCAACTCACATCCCTTACACTTTTTAATGAAAAAAACTGCTACTTCCCGATGTTTTACTACTATGGATTAACCAGGCTCTGTTAACATTGCCCACGTTAGTTAGCATTACCTTTGGAAGTAACATTTGCATGCCTTCATTTTTGAAAGAGATATTTTGGACCACAGCTCCCACAGGCCTTTCCTATTGACTATGATGGTTGAGGTTAATGTGAGCTAAAGTCCTGGAGAGAGCCAGATTGTCTGTCTTTGATTAGAAGCTCCTAAGGCAGTGGTGGCGAACCTATGGCACGGGTGCCAGAGGCGGCACTCAGAGCACTTTCTGTGGGCACGCGCGCCGTCGCCCCAGTCCTAAGGCAGTGGTGGCGAACCTATGGCACGGGTGCCAGAGGCGGCACTCAGAGCACTTTCTGTGGGCACGCGCGCCGTCGCCCCAGTCCTAGGCCTTCAGCTGGGTTTTATAAAACCTTTTCGCTTTAGGCCTCCGCTGCCATGTGCAAAAAAAAAAAGGTTCAATCAATCAGTCAATTTCAACTTCTCGCGGGGAAAAAAATGATCTTGCAAAGTTGGAATTGATTGATTGAACTTTTTAGTCCCACCCAGTCTGCTGTTACCACCCCAACCACACCCACCCAATGGGACACACCCAGACAATGGGCCACACCCACCCGGCACCCGACGATGCATAAGTGGGTTTTGGGTTGCAGTTTGGGCACTCGGTCTCTAAAAGGTTTGCCATCACTGTCCTAAGGCGTTGCTGAGGCATGCAGAGAATCTGTTGCTTGTTTGAGCAAAAGGGCCTTCCTGCTACTCTTTGAGTGCTGGGATGATAGTGCTGTGTTCTGAGCTTCATTTTAAAGCAAACACATGCGAATGCCGTGACTCAAGCCTTCCTAATACTTTTTCCCACCAACTGAGAAAACTTTGTGGATTCTACATTGCTGAAATTGAAAATATCAATATTCTCAGGTAAAAAGAAGGAAGATTTTGTGATTCTTTGGAATATTTGTGAATAAAAAATGTGCCGAGATACTATAGGTTTTATAGGAAATTGCTGCACCGGAGGCTTATGGACAGTTATGGAATTCTGTAGAAAAATCTAGGAAAAGTACTATAGATTTCCACAAAACAGTATGACCTTTAAAAGCCCTTTGCTAGTGCTATTTTCATATCTCTGGCAAGACACCCCTTTCTTCATAGCCTTTAGGCAGAGAAGGAAAGGATGTAAAGCAGAGGAAGGCAGGAGGTAAAAAAAAAAAAAGCTTTGTTTTTTGGTTTCTGATCCTGCCTAAGATTAACTTTAAACCTCCCTCCTATTTGCAGATAATACAGAAATTAAATCAGATAACTAAGTGCTAGAAAACAAAAACATAATTAAACAAGATCTTCGTCAATTAGAAAAATAGATATGTACTGTAAAAATATCTATGAGAAGAATTTTAAAATTGTAGCTGATCATGAGGTAAAATGAGTCAACAATGTGATGTGGTTGCAAAAACTGTAGATGTGACTTTAGGCTGCACCAGTGGAAGTATAATTTCCAAATCATATGTAAGAGATCCATTATATTCTGCATTGGCCTTGAGTACTGTATCCAATTTTGGGCACCACTATAAAAAGTAAATTTGTTTAACAGGATTGGGAAAGGTACAAACAAGAGCAATGCAAATGGCTAGGTGACTGCTTTCATGATGAGAAAGTGAAAGAACT